CCTGACCAGGATCGGCTTCCAGCATGTCCTCTGGGACTGCAGCACTTGTGGACATTCATGGTCTGGACTGTTAAACCAGCTAAGTGACCAACTCAGATAATCTTCTGTCAGATGATCGTGGTCACTTACCTGTGTTTCTCCCACTACAGAGTGTCTGAGATTGGGCGGTGCCCTGCCCCCCCGCCTGCAGTTGCCACGTGCCACACATCCTAGCAGCTCCCCTTTTAGTTTAGTTTTTCACTAAATAAATGTTTTGAACTTGCCCACTGACTGTCTCCTTGAATACTGGGTCCATCTGTCCCTGTTTCATGACACCTTTAGCTAATGTTCTAGTTTTTCTTTAGAAAGATCAAAAGATATACATTGCAAGGGAGAAGAAGAGACCTCTGGGCATTTACAATATCCCCTGCTGTTGGAAATACCCTTTCACTGGGCACCGAGGTAGCGGGTATACACAGGTAGGTCTTTGCTAATGAAGACAGAATAGGATAACGCCCTACACTATCTTTCCACCACCTTGTCTCCTTTTGCGTTTTTTGACACGGCGAAACCAAAAAGCTGCGGGGGCGGGCACAATCTCAACTTTAGGGTTGTTGTTTTCATCCTTACAACTATCGCTGTCGGCCATGCTAGCTTGCTTTGAGCTTGTGTGGACAGCGTGCAATCCGCGTGCGATCCTACTGGCTTAAGAACGGTTGGTATGACGACGCAGCACAAAGGATCATGGTCTATGTAGTTAACAATGATTTTTTTCCGCAGGACTGTGTTTAATCCTCTTGCTTTTTGACGGACACCTGCCCTTTTATTATTGTAACCCAACCACGACGATATCGAGACACGTTTACCACCGCGATAGCAGATAATGTCAATATCGTTACATCCCTGCTCCTGAAGCATGTGAACTCAGACTCACCTTTGGGTTTATATGGGATGACCTGGTTGTCATCTCTCTGGCTTTTCCTCTTTCTGTGTTGGCATCTGATTGGGCATGACAGCACAAGACTGAGAGCGAATATCTTTACAAGCTCCGGCACATTCATAGTAGGGTGGGCTGCAGAGACAGAAAAAAAAGATGTGAGATAAAGTGAAAGATGGCAAAGCTGCAGTCGTTTCCTGTCAAACCTGCCATAGGTCATTATCATGTTTGTCTAAAGCAGGTTTAACAACAAATGGTTAATATAGAAACAACAGAAGTTTACATCAACCACAAAAACATCAGCAACAAGTCACTCCGAGTCACCGACAGGAAAACAGACAATAAAAAAGAAGTCTGTCTAATAATTGCAGGGAAATGAGTCCAGAGTTCTGGAAAAGCCGGATCAGCTCTAACGCTCTAACATCGGCTTTGGAACAACCATGAACAGCTGATCTGATGATCACAGGTCCGAGTGTTAAAGTCCATTTAGGCATTCATAGATCAGCAGGAGATTTTCATGGCTTCAGCAGAGAAAGAATAAACCAGGGGAAATGGTCAAACCTACCGCCTCTGGTTAACAGTGGAGCTGCAGCATTCGAGTCATTAAAGGAGACCTGACTGACCACGACATAGAGTCACTGCGACATTTAAACTGGTTGCTTGGACTAGTCTCTCCAAGTCAGGGCTGGTTAGAGTCTAAAACCAGAGTATAAAATCATCCCCAGATTTAAAACAAATATTTTAAGATAAGACTGAAGAGCACCAAGGAGGAAGCAAAGAGAGCTAGCTGTAGAATTACGGCCAAACATAAAACATTTGAAGGCCTCTGAACTCTGATATCATCTGAGTTTGTCAGCAAGGGGAGAGCAGAGCAGGGAAATAAACTGGACCGTGATACGTCTGGAAAACAGCAGCAATGTAGAAAATAAGACCAAGTTTATTAAAAGTAGATCCTAAAGGAAGCAGACAGAAGGAAATCAGGAGTGGTCCCAGGATTGAGCCCTGGGGAACTCCACATGGAGGAAAGTAGATAACAGGTTTCCAAACACACCGATCAGTCCGATAGGAGCCGAACGCCCAGAGTTCTGATTGGGAATGAAGAAGGTCAACATTTTCTCAAGCTGTGGTAAGTTTAGAGGTTTTCAGATGATAAGTGAACTCATCCACTCCTTCTTTCAAACAAAATGCTGTAGAAACGCATCACAAATATTGAAAGAGGCCTCGCTACTGGCAGAGTGACGAGCATTTCAAACCAAGAGTTAAGGGGTTAAAAAGAAGATGAGGATTAGAATAGAATAGAATAGAATAGAATAGAAT